GTGTGGGATACATGAGGGGGGCAGTGTGGGTTGAAAAGCATTTTAATTCCAGTGGGAAAGGGGTTGTTTTATGACCACCATGTTTTGTGATTGTAAATGTAAATGTACTTTTATTTCTATTTGTATTTTTTGTGAAGCACTTTGTGACTTCTGTCTGTGAAAGGTGCTATATAAATAAACATTACTTACTTACTTACTTACATGAGGGGGCATCGTGGGTTAAATGAGGGGGCAGTGTGGGATACATGAGGGGGCATCGTGGGTTACATGAGGGGGCAGTGTGGGATACATGAGGGGGCATCGTGGGTTACATGAGGGGGCATCGTGGGATACATGAGGGGGCAGTGTGGGATACATGAGGGGGCATCGTGGGTTACATGAGGGGGCAGTGTGGGATACATGAGGGGGCATCGTGGGTTACATGAGGGGGCAGTGTGGGATACATGAGGGGGCATCGTGGGTTACATGAGGGGGCATCGTGGGATACATGAGGGGGCAGTGTGGGATACATGAGGGGGCATCGTGGGTTACATGAGGGGGCAGTGTGGGATACATGAGGGGGCATCGTGGGTTACATGAGGGGGCAGTGTGGGATACATGAGGGGGCATCGTGGGTTACATGAGGGGGCAGTGTGGGTTACATGAGGGGGCATCGTGGGTTACATGAGGGGGCATCGTGGGTTACATGAGGGGGCAGTGTGGGTTACATGAGGGGGCATCGTGGGTTACATGAGGGGGCATCGTGGGTTACATGAGGGGGCAGTGTGGGTTACATGAGGGGGCATCGTGGGTTACATGAGGGGGCATCGTGGGTTACATGAGGGGGCATCGTGGGTTACATGAGGGGGCAGTGTGGGTTACATGAGGGGGCAGTGTGGGTTACATGAGGGGGCATCGTGGGTTACATGAGGGGGCATCGTGGGTTACATGAGGGGGCAGTGTGGGTTACATGAGGGGGCATCGTGGGTTACATGAGGGGGCAGTGTGGGTTACATGAGGGGGCATCGTGGGTTACATGAGGGGGCATCGTGGAGCCAATCAGTGCAGTCTATGATCAGCGCAGGCAGCCTCTCTCAGAGTACAGTGTGTGGTCAATATACGTCTGTGCTTTTTCATGTTAGCTTCATGTCAACTTGGAGAAAATGTGTTTTGGGTGTAAATATGTGACGACAGTATTTGGCCCGAAGACTGAGAATGAGTCGAATGCGGATCAACTTTGTGACACCGCAGATTTTTTGACAGTGACACCACTAAAGACTGTTCCAGAGCCATGGAAGGCTCAGACAGAGGAGCACAGATCAGCTCTTTTTTATTTATTTATTTCAAAACCTGCACAAAAACAAGTACAAATATCAATTATCAAATAAAAAGAGTCACAAGTTTTGAAAAGGGGGTTGGGTGAAGCAGACGCTTATACATTTCCAACCCCCTCTCACACTTTCAGCAAAACAGCAAATACAAATTACACTAACACTGTACAGTTATATCATTACATCAAATACAAAATACAAAATAATAATAAAAAAATAAAAAAAACAAGACACACAGAGACAAGACGCACACTCATTCTCTCACTCACACAGACACTGGCCCAAACACTCCCTGACCACACACCTCTCTCCCACCGCTCTGTCCAGGCCCAGGGCATCACTCTCTGTCCTCCGTGTATTTCTTCAATATGTCTCTTTTAAATTTCTTTTTAAAAGCAGTCATAGTTGAGCATGTTTTTAATTCTTCTTTTAATCCATTCCAAATGTGGACGCCTCGGACCGAGATACACATAGATTTTAATGTCGTCCTAAATTTAGGTACATATAAAAGTTTGTTTCCTCTTAATCTGTAATTATGATGAGCATCTCTATCGTTGAAAAGATGACTTATATTGGACGGTAGAGAGTTTTCAGACGCCATGAACATTATCTGAGCAGTTTTTAGGACGATCAAGTCCTGCAGTTTCAGTTGCTGGTTTTGAATGAACAGAGGATTGGAAGGATGTCTGTAGTGGACGTTGGACACAATCCTTACAACCTTCTTTTGTAAGATAATCAGAGGCTGTGAGTGAGATTTGTAGCAATTACCCCACACTTCCACACAGTAATTTAAATATGACATTATAAATTAATGATACAGTAACATAAGAGCATTGGTATTGATCAGGTGACTTGCTCTCCTCATTATTCCCACACACTTAGCAACTTTTGTCCTCAAGTAACTTATGTGAGGTTTCCAGCTCAGATCTTCATCTATTATCACTCCCAAGAATACGTTTTGTGGAATTTTGTGAATCGGTGTGTCATCAATTGTAATTCTAACTGGAATTTTACTTTTGCGATTACTAAAAAGCATGATTTTGGTCTTTTTTAAGTTAAGGGACAGTTTGTTATTATCAAACCATAATTTTAGTCTGTTCATCTCCATTGTTACAAGGGATAGAAGTTGCTCCAAGTCGTCTCCTGAACATGTGATGGTGTGTCATCGGCAAAGAGTATAAACTTCATGACTGTTGATATTTTGCATATTTCATTTATGTACATAAGGAAAAGTGTGGGTCCCAGTATTGATCCTTGTGGAACTCCACAGGTTATGTCCCTAAGACCTGACCTGTGCAGACCAAACTGAACAAGTTGTTTCTTTCCAACCATTTTTTTGATGTCCCCCTTATGCCATAGTTTTCCATTTTATTTATGAGAATGTGGTGGTCGATTGTATCGAAGGCTTTTTGGAGATCGATAAAGATTCCTATTACAAATGTATTATTATCTATACCTTTCGTTATATCTTCAATTAAGTCAATTAAGGCAAGTGATGTCGATCGTCTATTTCTAAAGCCGTATTGGTCATCAGATAGTAAATTAAAATGACTGATAAAGTTGCGAAGTCTATTATCATATAGTTTTTCTAATATTTTGGAAAACCGTGGCAGGAGGGAGATGGGCCTATAGTTGTTAAAGCAGTGTTTGTTTCCAGTTTTGTATATTGGGATGACTTTTGCTTTTTTCATTTGTGATGAAAAGTGACCGAGCTGAAAAGATAAGTTACAGATGAAAGTGAGTGGTTTAATGATTTCATTTGCTATATTCCTTACAGTTCTCATGTCTATATCGTCAATATCTAATGAAGACTTACTTTTCACGTGAGGTGACATCACCTCTGTGCACAAAATGACTATTACCCAAATTATTATCGCACATGTGCAAGAAAAGCAAAATATGGCACCTTCAAAAGTGCGTTCGCACAGCAGACGAGTCTAGGACGCTTGAGTTTAGTAAGTGTGACATACTGCGATGCCACAAACACAGGGCACATGCAAACATTTGCACCGATGCACGTCACCATTGACTTTGGGTTCATCCACAACAGTCCAGTGTGAACACCCTGAAGACTGGACGCACCTGTGGGTGACATGTGCTCTTGGTTGGGATTAAAACCTGCAGCCACACTGGCTCTCTGAGAACCGGTCGGACACCCCTGCACTACAGGCTGATCCAGAGGGGCCTCCATCAGGTCAGAAACTTGGTCTTCCCCAGCCTCTGAAGCTGGAACACCATTTCAACTAATTTAGGAAATCCCTTCATATTAATTTGTTCCGTAGTCACATTAAATCTGTGACTGCCATCTTGTGGTTTATCTGCATACTGTGTGTTTTAAATGAATCCATGTTGTATGTTTGTAAATGATGCATGTTTGAAGACAAATGAATGAAAAATGTAAACATTCTCTTCATGTGTTGATTAAGAATATAATGTGCAGTGTTCCAAATGCTATAAATGTTTTTATACAGATTGGGAGGCACAGTGGCTGAGTGGTTAGCACTCTCGCCTCTCAGCAAGAAGGTCCTGGGTTCGAATCCCGGTCGGAACAGGACCTTTCTGAGTGGAGTTTGCATGTTCTCCCCGTGTCTGTGTAGGTTTCCTCCGGGTGCTCCGGTTTCCCCTGCCACTAAAAACATGCACAATAGGTCTGAATGTAAATGAGAGAGTGAATGATGGTGTTGGGTCAGAGGCTTTGATGGTCCAGTGTGTTCTGGACTCGCTTCTGTCATCACCGTGTGTGGAAGGATTGGAACAATATCTGACTCTGAACATTGGAAAGTGCTTTGGGTCTGTACCTTTGGGTCCGTACCTTATTCTGTAAAATGTGCTATATAAATAAACATTACTTACTTTACTACTTACATTTTGAACACAAATGAACATGACATCAGTGTCACATTGTGGTGGAGGGTAGCTGAACTCTTTCCTGATAACTCTCCAAAGTCAGATTTTAGTCTTTAGTTTAGAGCCACATGGGGCCAAGCCAAATGAAGAGTCTCAAAGTTACACATTTTCTTTGTCAAAATATTTGCTATTGTACAAATACTTAGAAACAGTGACAATATTCAACATATCCATGATGTTGGCCAGTAGAAAGGACTTTCACACATAAGAATAATATCTCGGGTTTGTGAATTTTGAAAGAGAGTCGTATTGGCTCCTGCTCCAACGGATAAACAACATGAACACAATCATTTTAACCGAACGAGCGTGACAGTATTCCAAGTACACACACGCGCACGCACACGCACACAGACACACGCACACAGACACACGCACACAGACACACGCACACAGACACACGCGCACGTACACGCACACAGACACACGCACACGCACACAGACAGGTGCAGCATCACTAGCACCACCCTCCAGCTCCATCACTGTCCTCTCTCCAGCGGCCATTCTCCGCCATCATCCTGCCTCTCCTCCGCATCTCCAGCCCCGTCACACGCACACACCCACACGCGGCTCCCCTCACACCGGAGCACCGCCACAGACACGGCGAAGCAGCCCTCACCCCCTGGAGGACCCCCGCAGAGGTCCCGTGGATCCTGGGAGCCTGGGAGCGTGCTAACCTAGGCTACAGCCGCGTTAGCCCCCTGCGATAATAACACGGCTCCCCGGTGCACGGAGGAGAGGCTGCCCGGGGGAAGGCGCTCTCTGCACGGCCACAGCATGACTCACCTCTCCGCCATGATCCTGCGGTTCTCTCAGCGGCAGCAGCGGCAGCACGGCGGTGTACAGCCCGTCATGTCCCCCATGTCCAGACAGAGGTCCTGCAGTCCTGTCCTCCCGCGGCGTGAGCAAGCCAGCTGGGCGAACACGCAGCACTTCCGGTGACACTTCACAATAAAACGCCAACACAGACTGTATATGTTAACGCTAATATACTGATTTTGGGTCGAGAGCCAAACCACATCCACGTAATGTAGGTGTCTCCAACCTTTTTCACCCAGAGAGCTACTTTCCCGGGAAAATTAAGGCAGTGGAGTTTGCATGTTCTCCCCGTGTCTGCGTAGGTTTCCTCCGGGTACTCCGGTTTCCCCTACCACTAAAAACATGTACAATAGTTCTGGCATGCGCCTCCTGTACTGGCCCCTCCCATCTCTGTGTGGAGTGAGAGACAAATGCCCAAAAAAAACCAAAAAAATGACCATTATAAACCGCTTTGAGACTCTGGTCTGTGAAAGGTGGTATATAAATAAACATTACTTACTTACTTAGAAAGCTACTCCTTTAAGTGGTCCTGGGAAAAATGTGATATATTGGTCTGATCCAGTCTGATGCTGGAACCACATACATTGAGGGGGCGAGACTTACAATAGTGCAGGGTGTATCCTGACACGTGTAAACAGTGTAACGCAGTTTGCACAAACAAAAGAACCAATTATGTAGAAATATTAAATACATAAATTACAGGGGTCTGCTAATTTGCAATTTGGTTTGAATGGATAGTCAAATAGTTTTACATTGTCCAGTTCAAAGTTGCAGTCTGTACCACTTGAGTGACACCAGTTTGTCTGCGTATACCTACATTTTAAATGTTTTTTTGTGCTGTCAACACTGAATGGAACTAAGCGCCTAATGTTCACACGAGCCGTCTTAATCCATTTCATGAAGCAAAGAATCCACTGCTTTGCAAACTGTGGTCTGCGGCCGCGTAATGTACACTGCATCCACAGGGACAACACATGAGAGTACTACATACAGTATTTAACTTATTGTTGATAGAAAATAAACAGATATAGTCTACATTGAGGTTTTTAAAGGCCGATTTGAACTCAGGACAGTTAGTGTTTGGTGAGCATCAGTTACAAGGCCATTATGAGAACAACTAAAATTAAAGCCGCAAGTGGCGTCAAACGGCCCTCGCCACACACCGCGCGACTCCGACTCCCGCAGCGTGCGACACCCCATAGCTTCTGACCTTGTCTACAGTTTTACACATCTACTCTTTTGTATTTGTGATCATCCAGCTTCAGAAAGACAACCCCACTCAATGCAAACACTTAATATATTAATATACTGAGGTTTATTTTCCATTTCCATTGGGTTTGGACACTCACTGGGGGCAGGACAGCAAAGATATGAAATAAAGACTAGTTTTATCTGGTTCTGGTGGACCCAATCTTCCATTTCATCTCCACATGATTCAGATTCAGATTCATTTATTTGCCATTTGCAGTAAAACCACATTGGAAAAACTGTGCAAGACTACCCCGGTGTGCACCACACACACCAGAGCTCTTGCCACGGCGCCATCTTTACGACGCCATGCGACAAGGATGAGGAAGTTCTGTTTAGTTCCACCCTGCTCCTGGTTGTGCTAACATACAAACCTTTATGTGAACACTGAGGACTCCACATCTGGGATCCTCATTTAGCAGTTGTAAAGTATCATAAGCACACAAAGGCAGCTCCTGTTAAAAGAGTTTATTTCTTAAAAAAGTAAAAAAAAAAAAATGTGTGTGTAATATCTGGAAGAGGCGAGGGCTTTTGTATAATACCCTTTGAAGTTTTACCATTACCACATGTTGGAATATGTTGGACATGGATGCCCTAAATGTATAAAACAGTTTCTGGGCCACAGGTGGAGGTGGCAGTGTTCTTTTGTACTAAATAAAGAAAGACTTATCTGTTTCCCAAATGTGTTTCCTGCTGAAGGGGACAATCTATAAATAGATATTTTGCACAAAGTGTCAATACTGAGAGAAGTCTCTAGAAGTTTAATGGTGTGAGACATTAAACACTTTGGGAAACTGTTATGTCACATGATGCTGACGTGGTCCACCAGAGTGTCCGTGGACGTCCATCCCTCCAGCAGCAGGTGGCAGCAGCCGGCCAGGCCTCTGACAGCTGAGTTCCACGTACGGGGGTCACGGTCTCCTGGGTTCCTCCGCAAATCCAGAGTGATTCTGTGAGCTGGCCTGAGAGCCTTGAGCCGCTCCGACAGCTCCAGCAGCTCCCCTGGCTGGATGAAGTTAGAACTGCACACAAGGAAAGATCACAAAAACAACTGAGTACTAAATGCACTACACAAGTATATGGAGTGAATGATTGATTGTTTTTATTATTTTTTAGACAAGTGACCATGATTAGCAAACACAGACAAACTATTTAGGGTTTTACATATGCGTCTTTTAAGGGTGTTAAATCCTGGGTTATATGTTAAATCTTATATTCTCCAGATGACTTTAAACTGAAAAATCAGGAAGGACCACAGTAAGTTCCAGAGCACCTGTGATACAATAGAAAATATGCTGATGATTTGGTTATTGCGAGTCCAATTGTTTATGACCGGTGTGTTGTTTCTGACAAATGATGTGAAAATTCTAACTCTAAATGTAAACGTATCGAACACTAAATATATGATAATTGACCCTAGAAACACTTCATAAGAACAACACTAGCTTTGTGGAATCCTATAAATACCTTTGAATAGTTGCTATATGACCTTTCCTTCATCTATACAACAGGTATGAAACACGCTCAAACACACATGATGTCATACATAACATAACATCCAAATTGCTAAAGGTACTTGACCTTATAAAAACCCAAACACTTACAATAATGTATAAGGCAAGACACCATTTGTTGCCTCAAACTGTACAAACACTATTTTCGTTTAAATCAGACTCTCGTCTCCGACACAAACTTAACTTTACTCTTCCTTTTGCCAGTACCACCCAGAAGCGGATGGCTATCTCAGTGGCTGGAGTCAAGCTGTGGAACTCCATGAAAGACACTCCACAAATATTTTTCAGTTTAAACAAATATTCAAGGAAACAATAATTAAATCATATGAACTGGAAATGAAATGAAAGAGGATTATTTGTTTTGATGAGCAAACCCTGCTTGTGGCATGTTTTGTATTTGTTATTTCTTTGTGACTGATGTGTTGTTACATCAGACCATCTTGAAAAATGTTGTTTGTTTTTTTTGGAGAAAGGGGCACATAATATAAGTTGGTCTTCTTTGTGCTCCTTTTCAATTGTCTGAATACTAGTATTATTTTATGTAAACATGTAAAAATGAAAGAATATTCAGAACAATTGAAATAAATAAAAAATGAAATGAAATGAAATGAAATGAAATGTCGTGGACACTGACCTGAGGTCCAGACGCCGCAGGGCACAGAGGGGGGGTCCTGAAAAGAGCTGAGCCAACACTGGGACGAGCCGCGCTGTAAACACACACAGCTTTGGATGTAGTGCAGTCTTGATGTCTCAAGTGAGAATACGTATCCAGAAAACTCATGTTAAATAAATGTGATTTTGGATTAAAACAATTGGAACCCTGAGCACCCAGAGGAAACCAACACACACAGGGAGAACATGCAAACTCTACTCAGAAAGACCCCATTCAGGGGTTCGAACCCAGAATCTTCTAGCTGAGAAGCGAGAGATATTTCAATAAGAAGCACACTGTGGATACGTAATCTGTTGTGATTGGTTAAGCTCAAACTCTAGGAGACGCTTTTCCCAATCAGCTTGTTTCCATTTTTCAAAACCATATGTGGGTCTTACCACAGGAGCCCTTAAAGTGGACATATCGTGTTTCCAAATAATTTATTTTTACATCTAAATCATTAATTTGTGGCCTATATAAAGCGTAACTGCAATGCCTGGGTCTGAGTCTCATTATTTGTAGCTCCACGGGCCTTTCTTCTACACCTGTTCTGAGGTGCGTCTGAGAGCAACCTGTTTTGGTACTGTCTCTTTAAATGCAAATGAGGCGCACACAGGTTCAACTCCACCCCGAGCGGCCATTTTTGTAGTTTCTAAGCACAGATACAATTATCTCATAGAAACTTCTCATTACATCGCAAACATGAAGCAGTCCTTCCTCATTGACTGAAAGCAAATGTTAAGTTTCATTCTTAGTCCAGTCTTATTATCGACTCTTCTCTTTTTAGCTTTGGGATCCATGCGCACAGTCTATGATGCTCACACGCAGGTTTGTTTACAACAGCGGCCGCCTGGCGCGGGCCTACGTCGCAGGATATGACGCACTACGTTGACAGAAATGTTTAAATTGAATATTACTTATGCACAATTTTACAGCATTTAAAAACGTTAAGAACGTTTTTCCTTCTACAGAAGGAAAGAGACGCATGCGCCTCTGGAGCCGCAGGTTGCCGACTCCTAGTTTATACAGTATGTGGAAGCAAATACTGAAGAGGATCAGGATATGTGCAGTTTCAACAATAAAATAAAATGCAATAGTCTACATTAAAGAGAGTAATAAACATGTCTCAGAGTGAGGGAGGTGGACACAGACAATACTATTGTTTGTTACAGGGATGAGAATTGGTCAAAAAAGACTGATATGCATATTGTCAGCCATTTGCTGGCTCTAAATCTGTTTAATTTGTTCACAACATATTACTTTTGGGCTCAAACATGAACTTTTAATGCAATGCAAAATGTAGGTATCGGAGCTTTATTTAGGGCGTTTAATGGCGCTTCGAGAGGAGAGGGGAGACGCGGACTGTTTCCTGCAGCAGTGTATGTATTGTGCACAGATTACTCAAAGACACGCATGGTCCTGTGCGCGTTTATGGGGTTGGGTACATGGCCACGTTGAGGCTGCGCGCTCAGCCACAACACGGTGGAGCGGCGGCGAGCGGCTGGACGCTCACAGCCTCTCGCAGCCGCTGGACGCTCACAGCCTCTCGCAGCCGCTGGACGCAGAAGCTGCTCATTACAAAGCGGCCGCAGATGCCGCGGAACACTGCGGCCGCTGAGGTGGCGGAATCCCGTTCGAGTACATACAGCAGGTGCCCCGCGGATACGCGCGCCCGCTCCAACAATTCTCAACGGATTTACACTTCTCATAAACATGTGTTTTGTATGAGGCAGACAGACCGGCCCAAATATGGGCATCGGCCCTTTGGGCATTGCCCGGTACGCCCGATGGCCAGTCCAGCCCTGTTCGCTGACATCCTGGAGCTTGGACTACAAATGAAGTGATGCAGAGGAGGGCTGGGCCGAAGTGTTTTGTTAGACGCCCATGCCCTTATATGGCAGTCTCGCTGCAAATACTGTGACGTAATAATTCTAAACACGTAATAGAGAATGGCAAAATCAGAACGGGTTGAAAAATCTTACCTAAACAGAATATGAAGTGTTCTCTGCAACCCATGAAGAGACTGATTTCAACTTTTTTGCACTTCTAGAGGCTCCAACTTCACAACATCAGGCATTTAAGGCACAAAAAGTGGATTTTTCATGATATGTCCCCTTTAAGCGGTCGTGGGTCTTAAACCTAGTGTATACTCACGCGGCGCGGAGCTTACGGAGGTGACGTGACGTCACTTGCTGGTCACTGCAAGGCCCTTACGTTGCCTGCCGCGCAGCATCGACATTTTCTAACTACGTAAGGGTCGCCGCAAGGAAGCTCCGCTGTGATTGGTCCGTGTGTGTGTATTGGAAGGAAGCACGGAGCGGCTGCAGCAGGAGCATGGAGGAGGCACTATGGAGCAGAGAGCGAGAAACCAAAGGAAAAGTAGTTTGGGCTCATGGCAGAGCCTGATATAGGCAAGGCAAGTTTATTTATATAGCACAATTCATACACAAGGCAACTCAAAGTGCTGAACAAAACAAGAAAGCATTAAAATCATAAATAATCACAGAACATTAAAAAGAAAGATAAAAATATAAAATCCCTCAGTTGTAGCACAGCTAAACAGGACTGTCTTTAACCTGGTTTTAAACATTGTCAGAGAGGAGGCCTGTCTCACATCTTCAGGAAGACTGTTCCAGATTTTAGCAGCATGAATCTGAAAAGCAGCCTCCCCATGTTTAGTTCTGACTCTGGGCACTAACAGGAGTCCAGTCCCTGTGCTCCTCAGAGCCCCAGCAGGAGGCCAGTCCCTGTGCTCCTCAGAGTCCCAGCAGGAGTCCAGTCCCTGTGCTCCTCAGAGTCCCAGCAGGAGTCCAGTCCCTGTGCTCCTCAGAGTCCCAGCAGGAGTCCAGTCCCTGTGCTCCTCAGAGTCCCAGCAGGAGTCCAGTCCCTGTGCTCCTCAGAGTCCCAGCAGGAGTCCAGTCCCTGTGCTCCTCAGAGTCCCAGCAGGAGGCCAGTCCCTGTGCTCCTCAGAGTCCCAGCAGGAGTCCAGTCCCTGTGCTCCTCAGAGTCCCAGCAGGAGTCCAGTCCCTGTGCTCCTCAGAGTCCCAGCAGGAGTCCAGTCCCTGTGCTCCTCAGAGTCCCAGCAGGAGTCCAGTCCCTGTGCTCCTCAGAGTCCGGGCTGGTTCATATGGGACTAACATGTCACTAATATATTTTGGTGCGAGGCCATGGAGAGACTTGTAACAAGCAGAGCTGTTTTAAAGTCTATTCTCTGAGCCACAGGAAGCCAGTGCAGAGACCTGAGGACTGGACTAATGTGGTCGTACTTCCTGGTTCTAGTCAGGACTAATGTGGTCGTACTTCCTGGTTCTAGTCAGGACTAATGTGGTCGTACTTCCTGGTTCTATTCAGGACTAATGTGGTCGTACTTCCTGGTTCTAGTCAGGACTAATGTGGTCGTACTTCCTGGTTCTTGTCAGGACTAATGCGGTCGTACTTCCTGGTTCTAGTCAGGACTAATGTGGTCGTACTTCCTGGTTCTAGTCAGGACTAATGTGGTCGTACTTCCTGGTTCTAGTCAGGACTAATGCGGTCGTACTTCCTGGTTCTAGTCAGGACTAATGTGGTCGTACTTCCTGGTTCTAGTCAGGACTAATGTGGTCGTACTTCCTGGTTCTAGTCAGGACTAATGTGGTCGTACTTCCTGGTTCTTGTCAGGACTAATGCGGTCGTACTTCCTGGTTCTAGTCAGGACTAATGCGGTCGTACTTCCTGGTTCTAGTCAGGACTAATGTGGTCGTACTTCCTGGTTTTTGTCAGGACTAATGTGGTCGTACTTCCTGGTTCTAGTCAGGACTAATGTGGTCGTACTTCCTGGTTCTAGTCAGGACTAATGTGGTCGTACTTCCTGGTTCTAGTCAGGACTAATATGGTCGTACTTCCTGGTTCTAGTCAGGACTAATGTGGTCGTACTTCCTGGTTCTAGTCAGGACTAATATGGTCGTACTTCCTGGTTCTAGTCAGGACTAATGTGGTCGTACTTCCTGGTTCTAGTCAGGACTAATATGGTCGTACTTCCTGGTTCTAGTCAGGACTAATGTGGTCGTACTTCCTGGTTCTAGTCAGGACTAATGTGGTCGTACTTCCTGGTTCTAGTCAGGACTAATATGGTCGTACTTCCTGGTTCTAGTCAGGACTAATGTGGTCGTACTTCCTGGTTCTAGTCAGGACTAATATGGTCGTACTTCCTGGTTCTAGTCAGGACTAATGTGGTCGTACTTCCTGGTTCTAGTCAGGACTAATATGGTCGTACTTCCTGGTTCTAGTCAGGACTAATGTGGTCGTACTTCCTGGTTCTAGTCAGGACTAATATGGTCGTACTTCCTGGTTCTAGTCAGGACTAATGTGGTCGTACTTCCTGGTTCTAGTCAGGACTGGAGCTGCTGCATTTTGAATGTACTGCAGCTGTTTTACAGCCTGTTTGGACAGACCTGTGAGCAGGCCATTGCAGTAGTCTAACCTACTGGAGACAAATGCATGGATAAGAATCTCCAAGTCTGCTTTAGACACTATGTTTTTGATCCTGGCAATGTTTTTTAGATGGTAAAAAGCTGCTGATGTTACTGATTTGATGTGGCTATTAAAATTTAAGTCTGAGTCCAGTATTACCCCTAGATTTCTGACCTTGTTTGAAGGTTTTAGGGAGAGAGACTGTAGGTGACAGATGACGCTCTCTTTGTTTCTGGGGACCAAAGACAATCATTTCAGTTTTGTCTGCGTTTAGCTGAAGGAAGTTGTTTTGCATCCACTCACTGATCTGTTGGATACAGTGAAGGAGTGAGTCCACTGGTCCATGTTCTCCTGCAGTCAGTGAGACATAGATCTGAGTGTCGTCTGCATAGTTATGATAGGAAACTTTGTTTCTGCGTATTAACTGACCTAACGGCAGCATGTAGAGATTGAACAGAAGAGGTCCCAGGATCGACCCCTGTGGTACTCCACAGGTCAGGGCCATATGATCTGAGACACAGTTTCCAATCTCCACAAAGTACTTCCTGTCTTCAAGGTAAGACCTAAACCAACTTAGGGCGGTGCCAGCGACGCCAACCCAGTTCTCTAGTCTCTGTAAGAGGATCTCATGGTCGACAGTATCAAAGGCAGCACTTAGATCTAACAAGATTAAGATTGAGACTTTGCCTGCGTCAGTGTTCAGCCGGATATCGTTTGTAACCTTAACGAGAGCAGTCTCAGTGCTGTGGTGGGGTCTAAAGCCGGACTGAAACATATCAAATATAGACTGTGGACTAGAGTTCTGTTGCATATCAAACATATATATAATGTATAAACTGTGCAGTCGTTTGTTTTGCTCTGTTCCTGTTCCTGTCTTGTTTGAGTCGTAGCTGCGTCTGTTGCGTTCCTCCTGCACTTGTCAATCGTTCATGTTTGTCTCGGATATTTACCACTATTATTGTTTTGCTGTTTGTGCTGAATACACTTTAATAATAACTATGTTTCCAACAAGAACAAGTTTTTATTCACAGCATCACAGTTAAATGAGTTAAGAAATAATGAGTCCATAAAACTATCACATAAACCTACAGTAGAAACACATGGAATGATCTCAAACAGCTTTGTTTTTGTTCTGAAGAGGAGAAAGTAGCAGCGTAAATTTCTTTGGTTTCTCAGGCAACTCCTGTGAGATCGCCACCATGTGGTTGGGTGTGGGATTACAGCATTCTCTTCAAAACTCCGCAAGGAGTATAAATTAAATTGTGCTTGCGTAGGTCCACCGTAACCGCTAACGTAAGCCGCGCCGCGCAAGTATACACTAGGCTTTACCGATGCGGTTGTGTGTCTTACCGATGCGGTTGTGTGTTTTACCGATGCGGTTGTGTGTCTTACCGATGCGGTTGTGTGTCTTACCGATGCGGTTGTGTGTCTTACCGATGCGGTTGTGGGCCAGGCTCAGCGTGTGCAGAGTGGGGTGGGCCGCCAGAGCAGAGGTCAGCCTTTGTAAACTCTCCTCTTTATTGGTCCATTTCTCCAACAGTCGGCAGTCCTTCATACACAGCTCTGCAGAGTGAGGAGGAGACAGATGAGACAGACGAGCCATTAGAATGTTACTCAATCA